CACAATCGATTATTTGCTATTTTTGAAAAACTTCAGATCACACTATCTCAAGACAATCGATTGTTAGACATAGACAATCGATTGTTGATTATTTTTGAAAAATTTCAGATTACACTGTATAAAGACAATCGATTGTTAGACATAGACAATCGATTGTTGATTATTTTTGAAAAATTTCAGATTACACTGTATAAAGACAATCGATTGTTAGACATAGACAATCGATTGTTGGTTATCTTTGAAAAATTCCAGATCACACTGTTTTAAAAACAATCGATTGATTTGCAGTTTTAATGCGAAATATTAGATAATCGACTATTTTTTCAGGTTAGTCGATTACCTCTACTGGAAAATAAAAATATTATTGATATTTGAGCATATTGAGACATTCTAAAGAACTAATGCTAACATCATATCATGAACTAACTAATACGAGCTAATACTAATGACTATTAATTTATTCATTGACTAATACAAATGAGTAAAATAAAATCAAACAGCTCCATCTTCTTTCATCACGGATCCATCACCGATTAGGTGGTCTATCTTCCCCTCGGGTTGCTCAAAGAAGTCTGCCACATCCAAGTGGGTGATGTCAAAGTTGTCGTCAGAGAAAAAATTCGTTTCAGGGCCTTTACTCTTTCGAGATGCTTGATAAAGGTCAACCAAATGTCTTGGTATACGGCAAGCCTTTGACCAGTGCCCTTTCCCACCGCAACGATAACATATAGTTTCTGAACTATTTGCCTTAGGATTCTCATAATCCCGTTTCTGCTTTCGGCGGTTATCTCTCCTTGGGGGTTGACGGATTTCATGGGAATTTCTTCCTTGTCTACGTCCACGGCTATGACCCCGATTACGACCACGACCATGGCCCTTTTCATGATTGGCATAATGAGAGTGCACCTTATCTGCTTCAGGCAGTGGTGTAGACCCAGTGGGTCGATTTTCGTGATTTCTCATGAGCAGGTCATTATTTCGCTCAGCCACAAGTAGGAGAGAAATCAGTTCAGAGTACTTTGTGAAGCCTTTCTCTCTGTACTGTTGTTGCAGTACCATATTGGAGGCATGAACCGTTGTAAACGTTTTCTCAAGCATATCATAATCGGAGATTTTATCTCCGCATAGCTTCAATTTAGAAGTAATTCTGAACATTGCAGAATTATATTCAGAAACGGACTTAAAGTCCTGGAGCCTCAGATGAGCCCAATCGTATCGTGCTTGTGGCAGAGTGACCAACTTCAGGTTGTCATATCTGTTAAACGATACGCTTTACGCTAGAGGGGGGGGGGGTGAATAGCGTATTAAAAATTATTAAGCGATTTAGTGCGGAATTTAAAACTTTG